AGTCACCAAAAGCGCTTCTGACCTGCCCCTGGTGAGCAATCCAAGCTTTATTCATCCCTCTGTTGTGGCTATAAGGAAGGAATTTGTCATTTAACGTTTAATTATTCACCAGAAACACCAGGAAGGTCGAGATAAAGCTGGACAGGTCGCTTTTGGATTGAACCTTTTTATTTGGGGGATGGATTCCTGGGAAGTGTGAGCACCTGGAGCGAGGCTCCCGAGCCATGCTTTTATTTTGGAATTGAGGGGAGCTGGAGGAGGCCGCGGTCACACGCCGGGGAAGCGCTGGAGCTCCTGCTCCTTATCGGCAGCTCGGGAACAAAAGGCGCTCTGTTGGGACTCTGCAGCTCTCCCCTTAAGCCTCCCCTGGACTTTGCTTCCCTCCTGCCTCGCAGAAGCAGCTCCTGGAGCCGGCTCTGGCTCTGGAGAGGAGGCGATGTCTCCGCAGGTGGGTTTTTGCGACAGAAAATGAGGAGGGGTTGGGTTTTCAGCGGTGCCGGGAAGGGCCGGGTTGGGAATCCAGCTGACTTTTTACATGGGCAGATTCACCTGGTTTTTTACATGGAAATGGTTTAGATTACAAGAGGAGAGATTTAGATGGGATATTGGGAAGGAATTGTTCCCTGGGAGGGTGGGCAGGCCCTGGCACAGGGTGCCCAGAGAAGCTGTGGCTGCCCCTGGATCCCTGGAAGTGTCCAAGGCCAGGCTGGATGGGGCTTGGAGCAGCCTGGGATGATGGAAGATGTCCTGGTGGCACTGGGTAGAACTTTAATGTCCCTTCTAACCCAAACCATTCTGTGATTCCATGGGCTGTGGTGTAACTTCACATTCCTCTCTGCCTGCCTCTCACCCACAGACGGTGCCTGCTGGTTTTTGGGGTGCTGGGGCCGGTGTGCCAGGTGTGGAGTTTTGTGAGTTGGTTTGGGGGTTGTTTTTTGGGCTGAGTGGGTGTTTTCAATTTGCCCCAACAGGTGCAGCAGCCTTTAGGGGGGTGATGGAGTGTAACAACCCAAACTCCAGGGGCTGAGCTGTGAAATTTGCCGTCACCCAGGGCTGAGCACAGGCTCCCTGGCTTCCCTGAAAAGCTGGCATTGCCTGGATATGTGGGAAGAGGGAAATATTGGGAATCAGAGGTGGCAATCCCCACAGTGGCTTTCTGGAGGCTGAGCTGCCCTGGGGTGTTCCAGGGCTTTGGGGTCAGCTGGATAATTGTGGCACTATAAACACAACTGTGTCACTTCTCCCTGGCTCCCAACCCGGTGCTGTCACCGCTGTCTGGACCTCAGGGAGTCCTTGGAGGCAGATTTTTGTAGCTGATCCATCTCCTCTCCATCCTGTGCGCAGTCAGGGCTGGATTCTTCAGAAACAGGCTCACACTGCTGGGAAAACAGAGTTGTTTTTCCTTTTTCTTGTCACTCACCTCCCCTCCCAACCTTCCGAGTGTTTGTGTCCAAGGACAGCAGAGCTTTGAGATGCCAGGACAGCTCCAGGGACAGCCCTGCCTGGAAGGAACCTCCCTGGGAGCCAGACTTTGCCCTCCTTTCCAAGGCAACGCCTTGGCAGAGTTTGTGCTGAAGCTTCTGTCCCTGCCTGGACATTGCAGGTGATTCCCAAGAATCCCTCTCCTCGCACTGCAGCAGCTTTTTAAAAATCCATGTGGTTTTATAGCACTTTACAACATCTGATTAAGTAATCTTTACTCCCACATGTCATCAGATGCCTGGGATTGATGAGCTGCTGCTGCAGAAGGCTCCTAAAGGCACCTCACCACCTCACCTGTCTCATCAGGGCACGTTGCATCATGCCAGTGCTGATTGCACCATTTATTTCCTTTTAGAAGCAGGAGTGCTCACCTGCAGTTTCCCTGAGCAGGCAGAGATGCCTCCAGGTGGTCCATGTCCTGTCACCAGGTGTGGCTCTGGGGAAATACCTGCTGGAGCAGCTGGATTTGGGACTGGGAGCCTCCATCAAACCCTGATCCTGTTCCAGCTCAGAACTCTGCGCGTGCCTGAGTCCCAGTTTTAATGTCTGAGGTTTGCCTGAAGCACCTCAGGGTGTGTTTTATTCAATAAAAACTTAAAATGCTCTGATATTGGTGATACCAACCCCGCTCTGAATGTGGCACGGATGTTCCTGGCAAGTCCCCTGGGGTGGTTGTAGCCCACCCTGGCTGTCCTGAGCCCATGGATGTTTTTAAGTGTATTTGGCTTTTTTAAGCTGGAAAAAATGTTTACTTTCTGCTCAGAGGAAGGCAAAGGTGGCTGAAGGAGAGCTGTGGCAGGGGGGTTTGAAGGGTCAGTGCACAAACCAGCTGCTCATGAGGCCATAAATAAGAACTTTCTGTACCCACACACTCGCCCAGGGACAGAGATTTGGCTCTGTCAGGCATTTGGCAATACCTGAACCCCCTTGGTTTGCCTGTCTCCTCTTGGCATCTCTTCTTGAGGTTTAGTTACTGATTCTGTGGTGAAATGTGCAGCAAAGTTCTCCACACTCGTGCTCAGGAGGAGGACTTTGTTTTCAGTTTCAGCTGCTTTTTAACTCATTGTCCACACAGGTTTAATTTTAATAGGGTTCTTCTCCTGCTTTTGAAACCTCATCTAAGCTGGTATCACAAAGGAAAAATACCATTTTTAGACAATAAATCGATGCACATCTTTGGTGTGGCTGAAGGACAATGGTTGTGCTGTGCTGGTGGGTTCTCCTTTTCCAGAAAGGTTGCTCCCAAATCCAGCCTGTCCATGCATGTATTTCCCATCAGTAAGGTGTTTTGGAATGATTTGATAGAGAAATCATAGAATCATGGAATGGTTTGGGTTGGGAGGGACCTTAAAGGTCCTCTTGTTCCAGCATATGACTAAGGGCACTGTTCTGCTCCTGGTTTGCTTCATGTTGAGAGGGTCAGCAGTAACCACAGCAGGGTTTTTTATCAAATTACTGGTGAATTAGAGTGTTTGGAGGTTTTTTGGCTTCTTTCAATACTTGTCTTTACTCTGTACTTATTATAATACTTCAGTTTGCTCATTATAATACTTTAACATGTGCTTAAATTTAAGTTTTTTCCAATGAGAAGTGGTAGAGCGGGGAGTTGCTATTTATAAAGCAGCCTTTATTTTGTAGTGTGCAAGCAAAATTCTTTCCAGTTTGGCATGAAATCCTTTTCAAACAGGCAGAAGGGAGGGGAATGTGCAGCTGGGGGTGGCTGCTGTCACCTCTTGGGCTCTCTGTCTGTGACCAAGCCAAGGCAGGTCAAGGTTCTGCTTCCCCTTGTCCCTCCTGCTGGAGCATTAATGGTGTTTCTAGAAAGTGCAGCATAAATCCAGTAAAGCACTTAAACAAGTCCCAGCTTTAGGTGTGTAAGTGGTTTCGGTGGATTTATGCTTTTTTAAGTGGGTGGGGGCTTTAGAGGCTTTTTTTTTTTTTCTCCCTGCAACACTGGCACAGGCTCTGCCCTGGTGGAGTTTTCTGGAACTTCAGACTCCAGCTCTGTGCAGCTTTATTTCGTGTTTAGCTTCAGGGTGGTGTCCTGGAGGTGCTGGTGTCCACAAGCTGGGTGGAAGCTGAGCCAGGTTTCCAAGAGGAACTCCTGGCTGTCTCCATCCTGCTGAGTGTGGTGGGCACAGGGGCTGGGAGAGCAAAGCAGGGCTGGGCTGAGTCACTTGGCTGCTCCCAGTGTCCATGTGGAGCGGGAATTGCTTTTAGCAGCTCTCTTTCCTCCATCCCTTTGAGGTTTTCCATCCATTTTTGCCCCTGGAAGTGTACAAGGCCAGGCTGGATGGGGCTTGGAGCAACCTGTAACAGTGGAATAGGCAGGGAGTGGAATGAGATGGGCTTTAAAGTCCTTTCCAACCCAAACCACTCCATGATTTTATGAATACAGTGCTCTGAGAAACATAATTTTCTCCAAAATCCTTGGAAAAAACCCTGGAAGCTGTTCTGTGCACCCTGGCAGAGGAAAAGGATTTCCTTCAGTCGTGCCTTGCATTCAAACTGCTGCTGTTTTGTTGGAGGGGCAGCTGAGCACGTGGGATCCCAGCAGGTGAACTTCAGGAGGAGCAGATGGCTCTCCATGTTCTCCTCACCTGGCAGGAGGGCTCTCACCCCTCTGGTGACAGGGGATCAGCTGCAGCTCAGCACCAGCACTGGCAGATCCCAAAATTCCTTGATTTGCTCCAAGGCATGCTGGGGAAATCCCCAAATCTTAGGAAAGGGGCTGGCACTGTGAGGGGTAACAAGAGCTTTGGCTTTTGGGGGTTTCTACTGCTGCTCCCATGGTTTTCCAGACATCAGGATCAGAAGGGATTGTCCCTGCCTGGTGTAGGAGCAAACACCTGAAGCTGAACACCTGCCTGGTGTGCAGAAATGGGAGGAAAACACACTTCTCCTTGCTTATATCACAGTCTGTTAAAACCCTGTTAAAACCCAAACCCTGCTGCTTTCCCAGAGCCTGCTCAGTGATGGATTTGAGATGCTGCTCCAGCTGAAGTGCTGAGATTTGAGTCCCTGCAAATCAGAAGCTGTAATGAAGATTTAGAAACAGTTTATTTGCTGTTGAGGGATGGAAGGTTTTACCAGACTGGGCAAACAAAAAAAGGTGCTCCAAGGGCTAATTGGGAGTTTTGAATGGTGTTTTTGCAAGGAATTCAGGTCTTGTCCTCTTGGAATGGGGTTGGAGAAAGCAGCAGTGATGGGAACTGCTGAGTCAGCAGTGGGTAATCGCTCCTGCCCTGGCCAAATCCATCCTGGCTCACAACAAAACTTCCCTCCAACTCTTATTTAGTCCCTATTTTTGTGATCTGCTTCCCGAGCCCTGCAGAGGCTGAGGTGCCCACAGAGCAGCACCTGGGCCTGGTATGATTCCAGAAGCCCGGATTCCTGCGCTCAGAAATGCAGCTCAGCCAAAATTCCCTGCCTCATCCATGTTCTGTCCCGCTGTGCCACGAATCCACGCAGCTGTAGGACCTCATTCTTTCTTTTCTTACATTTTTTTTTTCAACCAGGCAAATGAGGTGACTGACAGTGCCTACATGGGCTCGGAGAGCACCTACAGCGAGTGCGAGACCTTCACGGATGAGGACACCAGCACCCTGGTCCAGCACGAGATGCACGACGAGGTGGAGACCGACAGCGCCATCGACTCCACCGTGCACTCGGAATTCACGGATCCCATCGAGGAGCCGGAGCATGGGTGAGTGGGAGCAGCCAGGAGAGAAACCCCCCTCACACGGGGTGGTTCGGGGGAGACACGGCCTGAGGGTTTCACATCGAGTTGGTCTTGCTGGAACTTGGTTTGGTCTTTGTGTTTGTAACGACGTGCGAGACCAAAATAGCTCTTCTGGAGGAATAACGAGAATAATTAGGCTGGTTTGTGTAGGTTGGTTTGGAGCCTGGCCTGGCAATCTCTTTGAGTTAATCGTTGCTTGCCTTGGGAGATCTTCTGTACCCTCATTAGCATCTTTAACCTCTAAAATTACTTCTCAGGTGATCCAAACACCTGAAAGACTTGCAGTTTTTAATCTATCACTTAAGCCAGAAACACAACATATAATTTTCCAGTCAGGAGGGGAACTCGTTCTATTTTTGTTTTCCCTAAAAACATGCGTGTGCCCTTTGATGTGCAACCACCTCCTGTAATAACTGGTTTGAAACCTCTGCCTGGAGCACAGAAATGTGAGCCAAGATCTCCTTCCCCGGGTCTGAACCGCTGCTGGCAAAACTGCTCCTGGGCCCACCCCATTTTTGGAGGAAAAGTGGGGTTTGGGGTGAAACTGGGATGCTGGCAGGCAGGAGGGCAGGGAAAAACTCCTTTAGGATCAGAATCACAGAATGGTTTGGGTTGAAAAGGACCTTAAAGCTCATCTCATTCCTCCCTCTGCCATGGGCAGAGACACCTTCTGTTAGACCACATTGCTCCAAGCCCCATCCTGGACACGTCCAGGACTGGGGCAGCTGCAGCTTCCCTGGAAAATCTGTGCCAGTGCCAGGTTAGTGCCCCAAGAGCATCAATGTGCACCAAAACCTCTGGAATAATCTGTAACACACAGGATGAGTTCCATCCCAAAACACAAGGCCCTGGGTTGGTGCTCCAGGGAGTGCTTACAGCTCTTTTTGGGAGCACCAGGATTCCCTCCCATGCCAAAATCCCATCTGGGGATGTCAGAGAGGCAGCTCGCAGCTCTGGGCCCCGGGGCTGAAAGGGTGCTGTGGATAAGAGCAGAAATGGGATTACACAGCTCAGCTCTGGTGGTGGTGACAGTTAAATTGGGAGATAATCAGCTGTGAGCTCCTGTCACCAGCACAGGGTCCCTGCAGGGGTCATGGCAGCCTGCCTGCGCTCCCGGCCGCTGGGGAAAGCAGCCTGCTTCCGATTCGCCTGCCTGTAGGTACAGAACTCTGCCTTGGGAAACGGGGTTTGCCAGATCTGCTCAGTCCTGATGTGTGCCAAATGTGGGGTCAGCAGGACAGGAGGGAAAGAGTCCAGAGGAGGGCACGGAGATGTCCCAAGGGCTGGAGCCCCTCTGGAGCCAGGCTGGGAGAGCTGGGGGTGCTCACCTGGAGAGGAGAAGGCTCCAGGGACACCTCAGAGCCCCTTCCAGGGCCTAAAGGGGCTCCAGGAGAGCTGCAGAGGGACTTGGGACAAGGGATGGAGGAACAGGACACAGGGAATGGCTTCCCAGTGCCAGAGGGCAGGGATGGATGGGATATTGGGAAGGAATTGTTCCCTGGGAGGGTGGGCAGGCCCTGGCACAGGGTGCCCAGAGAAGCTGTGGCTGCCCCTGGATCCCTGGAAGTGTCCAAGGCCAGGCTGGATGGGGCTTGGAGCAGCCTGGGACAGTGGAAGGTGTCCCTGCCCATGGCAGGGGGGGCACTGGATGGGCTTTAAAGTCCTTCCAACCCAATCCATTGTGGGATTCCCTGCTCCCCTAGGTGTGGGCTTGGGAAGGTCAGATGTCCTTTGGGTGCTCTGTCAAAGCACAGTGGGTCCTATTCCCAGATTGTTACATGTGTGCAAATTCCAGGGAGCCAAAATCTTAATTTGATTTATAGATTTGAAAGGTTTGAAATGGGAACCTTTGGGAGTGCTGAGGGCTGGTTTTGGTACCATCAGACCTCACACAGGAGGACACCTCTGGTGCCCAGGGACAGCCAGGGAGTTACAGTCCCCCCAGTGCAGCTGCTGGGCTGAATCAGAGCCTCAGCATCACTTCAGGAGCTCTCAGAGCTCCACATACCTGAAATGGTTTGAGCTTAAAGATTGTTTAGGCTGTGTGTAGTAATGATTAATTGGACTTTGGATCCTGAAACTGCCTGAGCCTCAGAATGGGAATAGGAAATAAAATTTACTGCCCGAAGCATGCAGGTTGAGGGTTTCCAGGTGCCTGATCAGATCTGCTTCTGAACAGTGCTTATCAAACCACAGCCCCAGATTTAGAGTTCTGGGCTTGGGTTTTGCTTCTCAATTAACAATTCCACCCCCTGGCTTCTATTCCTGGAGAGGTTTCCACTGCTTTTGGTGAGGGTCTGACTCACCACAGGGATGGATGGGTTCTGGTGGATCCCACTGTGGAATGTTGGTGCTTCTCAAGGGCACGAGGAGGATGTGCAGATGCCCACAAGCTGGGCTGGATTTATTTGTGGATAAATAGAGATCTGGAGGGTTGACATGTTTTTATTAGCAGGATAAGGGCAAATCCTTCAGATGGAGCAGGTTTTTGTCATAAATGGCTTATCTGTAATCTTTTATTTTTTTTTTATGGTTTAGTCCAGCAATCTGCTCATATCCCATTTCCCTCTCCTAGCAAGTGCATGGAGATAAGGTCATAGCCAATACCAATTTCTGTAATAATGCAATATTATTATGACTTTAGTGTAGAATTTTGGAGAGCAGAGTGTTGTTAAACCCCCCAAAACACAGACCTGTGGCTCACAGCCCCATGGCCACTTTCACAGTCCAGTTGTTGCAAATCCCTCCTGCCTTTTCTGCAGCTTAATTTGAAAACTTCCATAGTCCTGGGCAGGAAATGGGGCTTGGCTTGGTGCTGAGGCCCTGGCACAGGGTGCCCAGAGAAGCTCTGGATCCCTGGAAGTGTCCAAGGTCAGGCTGGATGGGGCTTGGAGCAGCCTGGGACAGTGGAAGGTGTTTCTGCCATGGCAGGGGTGGAATGAGATGAGCTTTGAGGTCCTTCCAGCCCAAACCATTCCAGGATTGTGAGGCTCCATGCAATGGAAAGACTTTTCCAGGGACAATGACTCTGTGCTGAGCTGTGTCCCCTCAGCAGCGAGGGACACCCCAGGAGCTGTGCTGGTGTGTTCAGGATTTGCATCAAGGCTAAACACGCTGCAGCCTTCTGGATCTGGTGTTAAAAACACATGGAGCAGCATTCCTCACTCCAGGATTGTCACACAGCCTTTTCCCAGCAGGAGCAGGGAAAGGGCTCCTTTGTCTTGCTGGTGTTCTGTGCCAGCATCCTGAGCCCACCCCTCCCCAACACCAATCCCCCTGGGCTTATGGGGTTCAAGCCCAGGCCCTTGAGAGGATTAGGCAGGAACAAGCCTGGCACAGGCTGCTGTGGAACTCAGCATTCAGGATGTGCCTGGGACATGCCCAGCTCTTTCTCTGCCGTGCTTTTAGTCCAGCAAGGGCTTGTCACCAACCCCAGGCACTGTCCTGCAAGTCTTGAGTGCCCCCAAATCCTCTGTTGCAGCTGCCAATGGAAAAAATTGGTTTACTGGGGGGAAAAAAATCACCATAAACTTCCCAGTGGTGCCTGGGCTGTTTCTGTCCTGTCCTGCTCTGCTAAAATGGGACACATCACTCGCTTGGTGGGGTGGGATGACCCTGGCTGGGCACCAGGAACCCACCAAAGCTGCTCTATCCCTGCCCTCCAGAGATGGACAGGAAAAGAAAATACAACAAAGGGTTCATGAGTTGAGATAGGACAGGGAGAAATCACTCATCAAATACCACCATGGACAAAACAGACTCAAACTGGGGATATTAATTGAATTTATTACTGACAAAATCAGAGCAGGGTAATGAGAAGTAAAATCAGACCTTAAAAACACCTTCACTCCCCATCATCCCTCTTTCCCCGTTCCCCCTCCCTCCCCACGGTGGCACAGGGAGATGGGAGTGGGGTTTATGGTCAGTTCATCACACATTGTTCCAGCCACTGCTCAGGGAGAGGAGTCAGGGCACTCCCTGCCCCAGTGTGGGGTCCCTTGCACAGGAGGGAGCTCTCCATGGACCTCTCCAACCTGAGCCCATCCCCTGGAGCTGCTGCCCCGTGTGTCACTCCTCCATGGGCTCAGTCCTTCAGACACAGCCTGGGTCCCCACAGGGTCACAAATCCATCCAGGACCCTGCTCCAGCGTGGGCTCCTCTCTCCATGGATCTGCAGTTCCCTGCCAGGACCCTGTTCCAGCACAGCTGCCCATGGGCTCCCAGCCCCTCTCGTCCAGGCCTGGGCTCCTCCAGGGGCTGCAGGTGCATCTCTGCCCCTCCCTGCCCTCCGTGGGCTGCTGGGACACAGCTGCCTCCCCATGGGCTTCCCCACAGAATCTCAGGGTCATGCCAGGAATCTCAGGGTCATCCCAGGAATCTCAGGGTCACCCCAGCTCTGGTGCCTGGAGCAGCTCTTGCCCCTGTCCTGCCCTGTCCTGCAGAGCTGTTCCTCTCCAGTGTTCTCACCCCACTCTTCTCTGCACTCAGTTCAGCTGCTCCATCACTTTTTTGTGCTTTCCTTCTCAAATTTGCTATCCCAGAGGTGCCACCACCATTCCTGGTGGGCCCAACCTCAGCCAGCAGCGGGTCCATCATGGAGCTACCAGGAATGGGCCATGCTGGACGGGAGTGAAGCTTCCAGCAGCTTCTCACAGAATCCACCGCTCCCTTACCGAGTCCTGACCTCACAAACCCAATCCTGCTGGGAAGAGGATGTCCTGGATGCAATGGAAAGCTGCTGTGGCACCTCCCTTCTAACATGTCCCTGTCTGTTCCCACAGATCCCATCCCCACGAGCTGGCCCTGGGCTCCGAGCTCAGCCACTCCATCGTCACCGTCATCAGCGGGGAGGAGCATTTCGAGGATTACGGGGAAGGGAACGAGGCCGATCTGTTCCCAGACCCTCTGTGTAATGGGGAAAGCAGCTTTGGCAGCTCCTCCTTCCTCTCTCCCAGGTAATGCCCGGCCCTGGTGCTGCTTCAGCAGGGGCAGTCGCTCGGTGCCTTCACTCTGCTCTGTGGGACAGGGGATTTGCCAGCCAGGGGGGCCTGGCAAACTCTGGGTACAACGGGATAATCGGCTTGGAAGTGGGAGAGGAATTCCTGCCCCCAGTGTTTCCTTTCCCTGGTCAATGCCTGTCCTGCTGACACCCAGCAGGAGGTGGAAGAGCTGTCTGCATTTCCAGTGTCACATTCCCACTCCTGTTAGGGATGTGGCTCCTCACAGAACCTTCCAGGAGAGAAAACCACCTGCAGGTTTACCCCTGATCCTTCAGGATGACTCTTATTTTTTTTTTTCCTCTTTCATTATTTTGGGCTTTGATGCAATGTTTGGTTGGATTTGCAGGAGCTGCAGCAGCATTCCTTCTCTAGGGCTAGGTAGAGCAGGAAGCAGGCTGTAGCATTTCCTCCTAGCTTTAGGGTCTGAAACCAGGAAAAAGTCCATTTTCCAGCCTGAGCAGGGTGGGCTGAGGAGCTGCTATGGTGCTACAAACCCCACCAATACCTTCTCTTTCTAAAGAAAAGAAGTAAAAGCTGGAATATCATCCAGTGCTGCAGCTCACAAAGTGTCTGGGATGACAGGTAACACTGGGAATGTGTTCCTCCATTGGAAACACAGGGCAGGAGTGATCCCTGCCAGCCAAACACCCATGTTAAAGACAAAAATATACTTCTTCCTCTTTGGAATCATACATTTCTGCCTTTTTGCAGCTGTGTAAAGTTCTCAAAACTTCTGGTTTTTTCCTGTCTTCCCCATTTCTCCCAGTTTCCCAAAAGCCTTCACTGAGTTTGGACAATTCTGGTTGCACAGGGCTGGCAGGGAAGAGCAGCTCAGGGCTCATTTCTTTTTGGCTGGTGCAGCAGCAATGTTGGAAGTGTCAATCACAAATAGGAGAGTTGCTGTAGAGAATTTCCAACCTTTTCCTTTAGGAAAGCAGTGCTCCAGCACTGTGGTGGGAAGGGCACAGTCTCTGATCCGTGCTTGTCCTTGGCCTGCTCCGTGCAGAGCTGTGCTGGTGCTGTGGCACAGGAAGAGCTCTCTGGTTAAAACCCAGCCTTGGTGTTCGTTTGTCCTCGAGGATGAGCTGCCAGCCTCATCCAGAAGGCTCCTGGCAAGAAAATATCCAGCTAAAGGAGCTTTTCAATCACTTAATCACTTTTTGCCCACGCTCCCAGTGCTCCAGTCTTGCTCTGACAGGGCACCATCTCTGCTCTGCTCTGTCTCTGGATCTGATCCACACCTTATCCCATCTTCCCCCTGTTGGGAGGGGCTCGCTGGGCACGTGGCCACACAGGTTGTGGTGGTTTGTGCTGGAGACTCTCTGCTGGGGCTTGCTGGGGAGGCAGGCTGGAGATAAACCCTGCAAAACCTCTGGAGTCAGGAATGTGAGAGCTGTTGGAGCTGAAGGATTTCCTCATGCCTCTCAGGTCTAGCCTCCCCTTGGATTATTGCTGTGTGTGAAGTTCTTCCCTAAACATTCCCTGAGTCTGTGCAGTTCTGACTTTGGGTAGGAAGGAACAGGACACAGGGAATGGCTTCCCACTGCCAGAGGGCAGGGATAGATGGGATTTTGGGAAGGAATTGTTCCCTGGGAGGGTGGGCAGGCCCTGGCACAGGGTGCCCAGAGAAGCTGTGGCTGCCTCTGGATCCCTGGAAGTGTCCAAGGCCAGGCTGGACAGGGCTTGGAGCAGCCTGGGATAGTGGGAGGTGTCCCTGCCCATGGTGGGGGGTAGAATGGGATGAGCTCTAATGTCCCTCCCACCCGAATCATTCCATGCCTGAGCAGCCCCAGTGTGTTTAAAGACACCTGAAGGGACCACAGGCTGTCCCTGGTTCAGGTTGGATGGGTTTTTTGGCTGCATTTTGAATACAAAGAGCAGCATCACTTGTAAAGGACCACATCACCACAGACCCTTTCCATGCTGCAGGAGTCCCTAAATGGGAATAATTTCTAGAAATTCTCCTGCCACGACTCCAGAAGATGAACACAAACCCCAGGAGCTTTCAGGGAACACTGTGGGATGTGGTGCTTCCCTGCCCAGTCCTTGTGTGTTTGAGTCTGCCCCTGCATACCCATCTGGTAGGAAAAGCCTATTTGCAGCTCCTGGTGGGAAATAAAGGGAAAAGCTCCTTGTGCCCATCCTGGCCACCAGGCAGCACCGAGGACCTGTGGAAGACAAACACTGCTCCAGGAGATGGAGGGATGCACAGGAAAACTCTGTATTGTAGAACCACAGAATCTGCTGAGCTGGAAGGGACCCATCAGGTTCCTGGAGTGGGTGGGGGCACCCCAGGGCTGAGCTCTCACCCACTCCACGGGCAGGGAGCCAGGGCAGCCGGAGGCCAGGAGGATCTGCACACACCCCAGGAGCTGCCAGGCTGCCCTGGGGCTTCTCCTCCACACTTCTCTTCTTGTTTTGATTAATGCTGGTTAAATTTGGGTTCCCACCTGGGCCAGGCTGCACCACCTGGGAAGGGAATGCACCCAAGAGCACCCAGAAGAGAGTGCACCTTCCCCCAGGTGCCACAGAGCTGCTGTCACCTCTTCCCTGCACAAACCCTGAGCCACCGACCTGTCTGCCGCTGGGAAAAGGTTATCCCGGGGCCAGACCTGCCCTGAGGGGAAGAGGGAATGGTTTTCAATTGAACTTTTTTCCCAGGAATGGGAAGAGATGAGAATTTGGAATTTGCTGGTGTCCAGCCTGTCTGAGGGGCTGGGAAATACTGTACAGACAGCAGAGACTCCAGGCCTGACCCTGGGCTGGGGGCTGAGCCTCGGGATGTCCCAGCCCTGCGCTCACCCCGGGCCAGGAGTTGCTGGGTTCTGTATCCTGGGATTCACTGCCCCTTCCAGGTGCCTGCTGGGTTTATCTTTGCTTGCTTGCGCTCACACCTTTACCTGTCTCTTCTATTGAACTGCTTGGGTTTTTCACTATTTAACCTTTCTTTGATTCACGTCCGTGGCTTCCAGAAGTGCATTTTCTTACAGGAGGGATTTGTGGAGTCTGGCCCCAAATTAACACAAACCATTTGCTGTTCAGAATCCCCTGTGTCCTGCCCAAATCATGAGGAAGTGTCTCCCAGCTTCCCAAGCTGTGCAAGTCCCACAGACTCCCATGCCCCTTCCCAAATTCCCCTTCCCCATTCCCTGCAGGAGCACAGCACTGCTGCTTGGCTCCTGTGGGATTTGCTTTGGAGGAGAGAGGGGTTAAACTGCACCCATCCATTTCATCTTGGCTTAAAAGCTTTTTGCAGTGAAAATCTGACTGTGCATTACTAAGGTGGGTCTGCAGCAGCACAGCTGCTCTACTTTTAAAACATCCCAGTGGAAAGTGGGACACTGACTGAAGGATCATAGAATCCCACAAAATCCTGAGTAGGAATAGACCCACAGGGATCATCCAGTCCAACTCCTGGCCCTGCACAGACACCCCAAAACCCCACCCTGTCCATCCCTGGCAGTGCTGTCCAAACACTCCTGGAGCTCTGGCAGCCTCGGGGCTGTGCCCATTCCCTGGGGAGCCTGGGCAGTGCCAGCACCTCTCAGGGGAGAACCTTTTCCTAAAATCCAGCCTAAACCTCCCTTAGATTCATCCCTGGCTCTCAGCACCCAGTCCTGCAGAGTGCAAGTTCATTCTGCACTTACTGAGGCAAACCAGGAGCCTCCTGAGACAAAGTGCCTGGAATATCCTGTTGGAAAATAAACTTTGCAGTAGGTTTGTGGGAAGCACTTACCTCACCTGCCCTGGGCTCTTGGGGATTGAGGTTGGCTCAGAGGTTTGGAAATGTGGGCCAAGCTCAGCTGCTGGGAGTCTCTGGGAGGAGGGTGATGGAAGTGTTGTTAATTATCAACTATATAAATTCTGTTGGGCAATTACAAATTATCAATTAGCTATGTATTGTTATAAACTATTCTAAATTAGAAATTATCTATATATTATTATGTACAACCCCATATTGGCTTTAATTTGGCTTCGAAAATCATGGTGGGAGGCGACCCAACCTGCCCTGACTATTTAATTCAAATTTCTTACCTCCAACCAAAAATTCCCTTACCTTGAGGGACCCTCAGCTTGTGGAAGCCACGGCTGCAGCCTCTCCCTGTGCGTTCTGTGCTGTTGACATGACCCTTGTGATCTCTCTAGCACCGATCCGCTCGCTGCGAAACTGCACAGCATTCTCGCAGATGAAGCTTTTGAGTTTTACTGTAGCCAGTGCCACAAACAAATCAACCGCCTCGAGGATCTTTCTGCTCGCCTGAATGATCTTGAAATGAATAGGTAACGGGGCTCGTGTGTGTGGCCACCTCAGGATGATGTTCTGCCTGGGAACGCTCTCCTTGCCTGGCGCGGCTTTTCCCTCGCTCCGTGCGGGTGGGGAGAGGGGATGAGTTTTACCAGGGAGCCTCTGCAGGAGCTCCAGGTGCTGCTGAGCTGGTGGAGGGTGAGCAGGAGGTGCCTTTAATGGGGGCTGGCAGACAAGGAGAGCATTCCCTGCCCTTTGCATGCCTGTGCATGGTGGGTTCCAGCTGGCCGTGTACAGTATTTCTGTCACCAAGGAAAGACTGGGAATGGTGTGGAAGGGCAGCCTGGAAGGGCAGGGACAGCCCATGGTCCTGCTGCAGGAATAACCTGAAAGAATCAGCCTGCTCCACAGGGCTTGGGAGCAGTAAAATCTCACCCAGCTTCACCCACAGCCTGCCCACCCCGGTGTCACCATGGGCTGGGGAGATGTGACAGACCCCAGGAACGTCAGGAGATTCTGAATGGCATTTTGGAGGTTGCCCAGGCAGCAGCTGGATGTGTTGTCTGACAAGTGGGGATGGATTTCTTCCTGTTGATTTGTTCATTCAGAGCTGGTTGCAGCCCTCTGGGTGGAAGGATGGTGCCATTGGTGATAAATCTTTATTCTCATGGCTGCTGTGGCTGTTCAGACCTGGTTTTTGGTCATGTTCTTGATCTCTGTCTGTCCTTTGCAGGCACAGTGTTATCTGGGAGCTTTCCTGGTCTATGGGAGGAGAACTGGAAAACAAATAGGAGCTTGAACTGAATTATTTTTAATGCAAACAGAAGTCTCTCCCTTTCTTTTTCTTGGTTAAATTGTTGTCTTTGCTGTTGGAGACTTTGAGGGTCAGTGATGGGTCTCAGGTTATGCAGGTATTAAGGAGAACACTGGTTTTCCCTGGAAGCCCCACTCCATTCCAGGTTTTCTCCACCACATCTACCTGCAAAGCTGAAGGAACACCTCAGAGCCTCCTGTGATGGGTGGGATTTGCTGTGGAGCTTCTCTGTCCCGTGGTCATGGTGGGAATCCCATAGGTTTTGGTTTGCCCTGTGAGTAGGTGTAATCCCTCCATCTGTGTTCAGGGTTTCCCAAGTACAAATTTACTGGGAATATGTTCCAAGGGCTTTTATGGAAGGGGCAGTGGCCTCTCTTGGTGTGCTGTGGATGGGAGGTGGGACCTGCAGGACCTGCTGCTCCTCTCTGCATCACCACTGACGTGAGGCCCTCGGAGCAGGGGACAAGTCCCAGAGCAGCAGGAACTGGACCAAAATCTGGGACAAGCCTGAAGACACCTTCTCCAGGGGATTCTGGCAGCTGGGATGAACACAAAGCACCCCAGAACAGCCTCACTTGTAAAAACTGCAAGCACATAGAGAGTGTTTTATCCTTGGAATTAACTGTGGAGCTTGCTCCCAGCATTGGGGTGCTGCTTCCCCAGCCCACAGCATGGGAGAGCAGGGAAGAATCCTGCAGGAGCCTGGGATGAAGTGGTTTGTGCCTCTGTTTTGTTGCAATGCCCTTGCTGGTGTCTCAGCCTTTGGACACTGCAGGTGCCATCGCTTCCCCAGGAGATTTTTCCAGAGGAAAATATTTTTCTCCCCAGTGCTGGGGCCATTCCTTGCAGTTCCTGGCAAACAGCAGGGCCTGACCTCCTTCCCTTGGGTGCTGAGCAGCCTTGAAGTCCAGCCAACAGCGGCTCTTGTGCTCCCTGGAAATGTGGGATTTGAGGATGCACTTTGACCTGAGGGCTGCTCACCCTGACAACAGCCCCCCAGTCAGGTTTGGGGGTTGCTTTACAAAGCAAATTGTCCTAAGCTATTTTTAATCCCTCCTTCAAAGAACTCAGGTTGCAGCTCCAGGCAGGAGTGGACTTCCAGAGGATTTTATTTGTTATTTTGTGCTAAAACGGAGCTAAGCACCAGGAAATGCAGTTGCTGCTTCTTGGATTGGAGCTGTTCCTGCTGCCATCTCTGAGTGAGGATTTGGTGTGGCCTGGTGGCATCTTGTGACACCAGCATGTGTGGAAGATGAGGAGTGAGATCCAAGCCCTGCCCACTTCCCCAGCACCAGTCACCACCAGAAGACTGGAAGGAGCATCTCAGCAAGGAGCTGGTTCTGGAAAAGGCTGTTTTTTCTCAGCAGGGAGAGCCTGCAGCCTGTCCCCTGGGGGTGGGACACGGTGACACAGCCCTTGGCTGCTCGTCCTGTGGTGACACTGATCCCTGACCGCTGTGGTATGGTGGCAGCTGGCTCAGACGTGGATCCAAGGAGTGATCTCCATGGGTTATCCATGAGGAAAGAGAGCTCATCCCCCTCCCCTGCCACTGCAACATCCACACAGGGACACCAGCAGCAGCTCCTAAAGCCTCTGAGCCAGGAGCAGGCAGCACTTCCCTGGGGATCCAGAGCCCAGCAGTGAGAGACTGTGGAAGGGCACAAGGATGGATGGATGGATCCAGTGGGATCATGGCTGTGGGAAGGGCACAAGGATGGATGTGCCATTGGTGCCCAGTCCGTGGGAGCTCTGGGGGTGGCAGGGGAAGCCTGGGGTGCTGTGGGGTGCAGGACATGTGGCTCAGTCTGCCATCAGCACCGGGCTGGACCCCCCCAGCCTCCCTGCTATTCTTAGCTCTTTCCTTGGGGATCGGTTTTCAGGCAGGGATCAGCGGGAGAGCAGAGCGTGGCAGGGGGCAGCCAGCTCTTCTCCAGCATTATTCCATGTGCTTTGTTATTCCTTGCTGTTAACCACGGGAGTGGCCCCTCTCCTGCCCTTTCCAGGGGTTTGGGGGTGCATGCCAAGGGCGCTCCCTGCCACAGCAAAGGATGTGCCCCGGAGTCCATGCAGTTTCCTGTTTCCCTGGCTCTCCACTGTCAGCTTTTCTAACTCTTTCCTGTTTTTTCTTCATTTCACAGCCCAAATAAAAGACTCTCCAGCAAGAAAGTGGCAAGGTAAGCTCATACTCCTGTTGTTGTTTGCTTGATCTGTGCGAGCTGCCGGATCCGCGGAAAGAAAACTCAAAATAAGCTTGGAGAGTTGTATTTCTGGATATGCTCCATAGTGCAGGGGAAAAGTGGGTTTAATTTTAAGAAGAATTTTTAAATTCTGTTATTTTTTTTCTGGAATGGGGGTTTCTTGCTTGTGCACACAGCTGGAGGCTGCTGGCAACCTGATTCCTTCCAGGAAAAAATGGGGAGGGGGCTTTTCCTCACACTCTGTGCTGCTGGTGCCATAGCAGGGGGCACATGGAGGAGGGAAGGAGTCTCTAGAAGGACATATCCCTCTGGGATGTCCCCTCCCAGTATCACCATGTCTGTAGAGGTCTACAGGACCAGACCAGTCAGTACCCCCACCTGGAGGGGTTCTCCAGCACCCCAAAATTTCCAGCTGCCTTAGACAGCTCTTGGTCCTGTTTTACTTCACTCCGTGCCACCCTCAGCACTTGGCTTTGTGGGAGCAGCTCCCCCTGCTCAGTCAGGGGCTCTGGGTGGGCTGCAGGTAACTCTGGTTCAATGGTTTAACCCTGGTTTAGCCCTGGTTTAAGCCCAGGTTTAATGCTGTGCTGCTTCTGTCTTTCACGACCACCTTGTGTGATGTCAGTCACCTTTTCTGGGTGGGTGTTGTGATCCCTGGCTGCACAGGCATTGGATATATTGGATATATCCAGGCAGTTTGCTGTGGATCTCTGGAGCAGAGGGTCCTTCTCACCCCTCTCAGTATCACCTGGTGCTCATCTTTCCTGTCCCAGCTCCCCCATCCCTCCTGTTCCCGTGCCATCATGATTTTAAGGATTAACTGACTCTTATGTCCACTGTTCTGCCTCTGCCACGCTCAGGGGAGAGATTTCCCTCTGCACTTGTTGGATTTCTCCTTGCTGGTTTCCCAGCAGGACAGGGAGGCTGTGGGGGAGCAGCTCAGTTTGGGAATGTTCCTGTTCCTCTGCTCCCTGTGCTGACCCAAGCAGCTTCCCTGCACCTCTTCCTGCCGCTGTGCTCTCACACCTTTCCCTTCTCCTTTTTTCCTGCACTCAGCAATCTCCCCTGGCACGGTTCCCCCTCCTGGAAAGGAAGCAGATCCTTGATATTACATTTCCTACTTCCACTCATCTTACTTTCTAGAGCTTTGTTAAAAACACTGGCAGGAAGGAGGGCTGAGGGGAGCAGCCTGTCCCCAGGTTTCCTGTTTTAGGACTCGTTTTTATCCCGTGCCTGGTGCAGATAATTTTGGGAGGATTTGAGTTGAACTTTTGGGAACAGAGACACCCTGACTTATGGGGGATTGAGCCCTCCTGGCCCTTTGCTTTTCTGAGGCAGGGATGTGTGGGCTTGGGTAAATATTAGTTAGTTGAAGAGCAGTCAGGTTTGGTTTGTGATAAGGAGGGAGATAACAGGGTTTTGCTGAGCCAAATCCTTAAGCTCAGCCCAGAGCAAATCCTTTGTTGCAGATACTGTAATTAGTGAATAATCCCAAAACATTTGCTTTTAGAAAATTGATTTTATTTTGGTAAGGGCTCTTTCCTCATTTTTGTTATCCTGGTTCTGCTCGTGCCAAGAAATCTCAGCTGCTTAAGCCCTGTTGTGCTTGGCACGATTTAAATGACAAATGTGCCTGAGACTTTAAAATCTAAATATAAACTGAGGGTGAGGATGCAAAATCAGGCTGTGGTCTCTTGGTAAATGCCAGTTGTGCTTAGTGAGTCCTGGCATGAACACACTGTGTAGTGGGAGGAATTTGAGAGCCAATGGTACAAATTCCTAAGAAAAATTGAGGTTTAAAGAGACTCTCTGTGGTTTTGTCATCCATCTCCTGCTCAAAGCAGGAGAGCAGAGTGTTCTCCTCCTGCCTGGGGTCCCAGGGCTGGAACACAGCCCTCTCTCCAGAGCAGATTCTCAGCCCTGCCGAGGGGTGGCTCCCCAGGGTGTCCTTTAGCTCGTCACAAAGCTGGGGACACCGCTGTCCCAAGGTTAATGATTAGCTCAGCCTGGGCTGGGGGGTCACAGCAGCCTCAGGGTGTTTGTCCCCTCCCTCCCCTTACACCCACACTTCTTCCCAGCCTTATCACACTGGAGTACTCTGGCCTTTGCTGCATAATCCACGCCTTGGGATTGTCCAGCAAAGGATAAGGTGCTGAGGAAAGAAAGTGGGAAGAGAGAGCTCTTATCTCTTCCCATTCCAAAGAGCAAGAGCAATGATCCCGGTGTGAAGTCCCGGGAGCGTGTCCACGTCTGCCCCGCGGGCACTGCCAGGGGCTGGCTTTCCCGGGAGAACTCCGTGGTGAGGGGCACATCCAGCATTCCAGGGCAGTGCTGATAAATCCCTCTGGAGAGGCTGAGGAGGGCGGGAGGTGGTGCCCTGGCCATGGTGCCGGTGCTGGCGCTGATGCCGGTGCTGCTGTGGGTCGGGGTGGTTTGTCTCTGTTTCAGGCAGCTGCACCAGACGAGCTCGTTGGCCGTGGGGGTGATGGAGGAATCCTACCGGGAGAACCTGGAGTGCACGGACGAGGACATCACGGACAAGGTGAGGGCCCCTTCCCTCCTGTGCCAAAACCTCAGCTGTGCCATGGGGATCAGGCTGATTCCGTGCTGCTGAGCTCTGCGGAGATGTTGAGGGAAGGATTATGGGGTTGGGATTATGGGAGAGGTGCTGTGTTCCCTGCAGGATTCAGTGCCTTGCAGTGCTCCAGGCAGGATCAGGCTGAAGCTCCTCTCTGTGGGTGCAGGTGGGACGTGGGAAGCCCTCCCCACGGAGGGGATGGAGGAGGAAAGCACTCCAGGTGCTGGGCAGGGTCAGGAGGTGACACTGGATCCCTCTCTGGGGGCAGTGGCTTTCCCCAGAGTGCTGGGAGGAGGAATGGGCTGTTCACAGGCAGCATTTTCACTTCTCCCTCACACAAGAAAGTATTCTCAGGTTCTGTTTTTCTGAGGCAACCCACCCAGTGTGAAACAGGAACTTCTCTCCTTGGCACACTCCGCTCGTGCTGTCAGGGCAGAGCTGATTTTGTGCTGGTGCTGATGGGTTTTCCTGGGGTGTTACAAAGAAAAAGTTGTAGGATAAGATGGAGCAGAGGAAAGATTTTGTTTGAGTATCTCTAGTTAAAAAACAGGGAGAAGCAGCTAAGATTGTATAAATGTCTACTGAAGTCCTGGAACTCTTTGGGAATGGCTTTTTAGCTCTGGGATATCAATGTCCTGAGGAGCTGTGTGTGAAAGAGAAATGTGTATGTGTGTGGCTGCACTTGGAAATAATTATAATGCAGGGAAGACCTTTAAAAAATAAATAAAAATCAATATTTTTCCAAGGCTGGAAGTTGAATAAAATAATTTGGTTCCTTAAGGCGTTTGACTTGGGAAACTTTTGATGGAAAAGGCACTGCTGGGAAAGGCCTTGTGTGCATGGCCTCTTTAATATTCCCATGTCTCCTGCCCTTCTCCCAGAACCAAGATTGTGTTTCTTCTGCCCCAAGATTGTTTATGGAATTTGAATGAATTTGAATGAATTAAATGGAGATACAGCTGGAATAAACCCGGGACAGGGACAGGGAGAAAATCCTCACCTCTGCTCCTTCCCCACCAGCTGGCATTGATCCCTCCATCTGTTAATCCAGGGCTTCCATCCTGTTCCAGCTCTGGAGATCCAGCAGGATCTCTCCCTCTAGACTCCTTCTAGGATGTCATCAGGAAGGGGTTGAAGGAAGGAAAGAGTGAAGTGTTTGGCCCCAAACTGGTACCTGGGAGCCATCAAACCCCAGGAAACCGGGGTGGAAAAGGATGTTTTAAATCAAGGCACAACTGCCCAATTCCAGTGGGGACCTCCTTGTGTGGGGATGATGTGGGAGCTGCTCTGGGTTTGGGGATGGCCAGAGGCTGATCTGTGTCCCTGCTGGCAGGTGGTGTTCCTGGAGAAGCGGGTGACGGAGCTGGAGAAGGACACGGCTGCCAACGGGGAGCAGCACAGCCGCCTCCGGCAGGAGAACCTGCAGCTGGTGCACAGGTAGGAGCCTCACCTGGGAGCCTTTCCCCTCCACGGGCTCCAGCTGCCTTCCCAAATCCAAACCACAGCCCTTACCAGGGATATTGACTCCATCCCAGCTGAGAACAGGACACAGTGACACAGAGATTTTATATTTTATGTGCTTAAGTTCTCTGGAGCCCCAGGAATTGGCTTTTAGTGATTTTTACATATGGCTTTTAATTGCTGGAGCTGTGTCAGAGGAAGGTTCTTCCCCCAGAGGTGCTGGCACTGCCCAGGCTCCCCAGGGAATGGGCACAGCCCCGAGGCTGCCAGAGCTCCAGGAGTGTTTGGACAGCGCTGCCAGGGATGGACAGGGTGGGATTGTTGGGGTGTCTGTGCAGGGCCTGGAGTTGGAATCCATGATCTGTGGATCTGTATTTATTTTAATTTTTTTTTATATGCTTCCCTGCTCCATGTGTCCCTCCCAAAAGGTCTCTGGAACTCTGGTTCTTGCCTTTCATGTATATAGATATATATATTGAGATATATATAGATATAGATATTGAGATATATATCAATATATAGAGAGAGACAGATATATATTTTCTCTCTCTATATATATATAGATAGATATTGATATTTCTTTTTATATTTACTATATATTTATATATTAAATATATATTAAATATATAAATAAAAATATATATTTATATTTATATTTATATTTATATTTATATTTATATTTATATTTATATTTATTTTCCTGCCCCATAAGCCCCTTCCAAATGGTCTCTGGAGCTCCAAGGTTTGCCTCCTGCTGGATCCTGGCTGGGCTGCAGCCCACTGGATCCCACATGATGTAATCCCCATGTGTGCTAATCTGCCAGGCTCCTCTCTCCCAGCATATCTTTACCCTGGGCAGATAAACCCGGCACAGTTTATCTATAGGGCTGTAATTCTGTTAAGTAACAGCCATGGCAGGGAACTGAGCCACTCAAACAAAGGTTTCCCTAAGCCCTGATAAACTTGGGAGAGAGGGAGATGTTTTCACTTCAGCAGCTTGGCCTGGAGGTGTCAGCTGGCTCTGGGTGAGCTCGGTGCTGGGAGCAGCTGGGAAAAGCCTTCCCCTGGGCAAAGCCATTGCATAAATTCCAGCTCCCAGCCCCATCCCTGGAACTGCTGGGAGAGGAGAAGGCTCCAGGGACACCTCAGAGCCTCTTCCAGGGCCTAAAGGGGCTCCAGGAGAGCTGCAGAGGGACTTGGGACAAGGGATGGAGGGACAGGACACAGGGAATGGCTTCCACTGCCAGAGGGCAGGGATGGATGGGATATTGGGAAGGAATTGTTCCCTGGGAGGGTGGGCAGGCCCTGGCACAGGGTGCCCAGAGAAGCTGTGGCTGCCCCTGGATCCCTGGAAGTGTCCAAGGCCAGGCTGGACAGGGCTTGGAGCAGCCTGGGACAGTGGAAGGTGTCCCTGCCATGGCAGGAGGTGGAATGGGATGAGCTTTAAGGTCCCTTCCAGCCCAAACCATTGTGGGATTCTGTGATCTGCAGTTCTGCTGCCACACAGGGAAGGGTGAGCTGCAGATCCCTTGATTTTTGTTGGGATCTCAAGAAAGTGAAAAGAAGATTTGAGGCTGTTGCCTTTTCTCTGAGTGATGAGACCACTTCATGCTGGAAACAGCTGAAGGAGGATTTCTCTGCCATGATTACTGCAGGTGGAACCACAACCCTGGGATTTACGTTTGGATTAGATGTTTGGATTAGATGTTCTTAAAGGTCTTTTCCAGCTTCAGTGACTCTGAGATTCCCATTAAGAGATGTAGATATGTGTGGCTGCACTTGGAAATCATTCTAATGCATAGAAGACATTTAAAAATAATTTAAAGTGAACTTCTCTCCCAGGCTGTAAATTTAATATCATGCTTGTGTTCCATAAGGTGTCTGACTTGGGAAACCTTTGATGGAAAAGGTGCTGCTTCTCCTGCTGGGATGCACTTGGGGATGGTGATTGGTGTATTTTCCCTGGAAACTTGTTTTGTTTTACCATCTGCTTCTCCCAGCTCACCTGAGGGGTGGGAAAGGGACTGGGAAGAGAAGGAAGAGAATCTGGTCCCTCCCTTGGGATGGCAGCTCCAGGGGCCTAAGGGAAGTTTAATCCTCCCTTTCTCCTGTCTGCAGAGCAAACGCGCTCGAGGAGCAGCTGAAGGAGCAGGAGCTGAGGGCTGACCAGACCCTGCTGGAGGAGATCAAGAAGCAGAGGGAGCTGCTCAGCAAAATGGAGAGGGAGAAGAGCATTGAGATCGAGAACCTGCAGGCCAGGTGGGGCTGGGAGCTCTCCTGGAGCCAATCTGTGCACAGGCAGCCTGGGGGGGACACAGGGAGGCAGGCAGGGAGTTTCATAGGTTCAAGGTGTGACTAAAGTTACCACAAACCCTGAGTTTTGGTTATTTGCACCTTTGGCCCACAGATGTAATCTTGGATTCTTTATTTGAGCTGCTCTGATGCATTTTAAGTTTAGCTCCCATCCTTTATCCATGTGCCTGCCCTGCAGCATGGGGATGGAGAGGGGATTTGTCAATTCCTCTTCCTATAAATGATCTCTTTTAATGCCCAAATGTTTTCCACCTTGATGGAAACAGGCAAATACCTGGGAAAGAAGAATCTTCCAAAAAGGAAGAGTGTCCCAGCCAGGGTGCTTCGTGCTGCCTGTTGCATTCCAAAGGAAGAAGTGGGGTGGGAGAGATGTCAGTTATTTGACAGCATTTTCCAGCTTTCCCAGAATGTTTTGCTGTAGTTCATCCCTTGCAGTCCATGGAAGATGAAGACAGTGGGGTTTTACCTGGGAATGCAAAGACAAAGCCCTCTCTGACCCCCTGTTCTGTTGTCTGTGCTGCTGAGGTTTGTCCAGGGACTGAAAATGCCCTTGGAACAAGGAATAGCACTGGACCTGATGGATGTCAGGATTGTGTGGATGCCCCTCTCTTTCCCCTGGCAACAGAAATATCTCAGGCTTTGCCTCCAACAGATGAATCCCTGCTGGCTTCCCTTTGGTTTAATATTCCTGGGGATATTTCTCCCCAGTGTGGGATGCTGGGATGAGTCTCACACCCGTTCCCTTTGCAGGCTGCAGCAGCTGGATGATGAGAACAGTGAGCTGAGGTCCTGTGTCCCCTGTCTGAGAGCCAACATCGAGAGGCTTGAGGAGGTGAGGCCAGGAGGTTCCAGGTTTTGGGATGAAACTCTGGCTTGGGGATGAATTTTCACGAAGATGAGATCCATTTAATGTAACAAAGCAGTTGCTTCCACTTTCCAGTCGCTGCAGACCCCACTTTGGGCAGCACAATCCCACACAGTTATCCTTGCAGTTTCCCACTGTTCAGCCTGGAAACTGGGAATAAAGCCCTGCTAAATCTGTGTGGCAGTGGCTGCTCGGGAGGGGACTCGTGCCCTCTTGTGGAAGCTCGTCCCCATCCCTGTCCCCATCCCTGTGGCCAGTCCAGTGCAGGGGAGGAGGAGGAGCAGGGATGCTCCATCTCCATGTCCTGGGATTTGTGAGTTGAGTTTTCAAAGACCTGTGTCACCTCCCAGCCCCTCTCACTGTCACCCTGCTCAGGATCCGAGGCCGTGCAGGGCCGGGGGCTTCCCCAGGCTCCTGGGGATGGGCAAGAGCCTCATCTTTAGGGATAGTGTGGGTTACAGTGGGACACCTGAAACAGGGGCTGCATTTTGTCTCTGCTGAGCTTGGGGCAGAAGTAAAGTTAAAACTGAACTGAAATCAAACCTCCTTACCCAGCTGAAGAGCCTGAGGCACTTTATCCACATTTAATCCCATGGGAGAGCGCTGCAGTTCCATCCCTCCTGAGGTGGTCTGCATCTGCCAGGACCTGGTGAGCACAGCTGAGGCTGGGGGCAGGAAAACCCCAGTGGCTCTGAGGATAAATTCCCTGCCTTGGTGTCTTTCAGCCATGGAAAGTTGGTTTTGATCCATGTTCTCCTCTCCACAGTGAATGGGGTGAAGGAGGAGCAAATCACTGCCCCTCCCTGCCCAGGAGAAGCAGGGCTGAGGAGCTGCTCTCCTGTCCAGTGCCCAGAAATCAGGATTTTGTTGTCAGTGTTGCCTTTCCTGCTGCTGTGGTGCCTTTGGTGCTGCTCTGTGGAGCAGGACAGCCCCGAGCCAGCATCTGGGGCTCCCCGTGGAGCCTCCTCAGCCCTGCCAGGGCCATCCATCACCAGCGCTGGAGGGGGGCTTGTGGGGTTTGTGGAGTTCTGAAAGCCAAATCCTTTCCCATGGGACTGGAAGCTGTGGGCCCAGGAAGGGGGTGGTGAGCTGGTCACAGGCAGAAGGTGCTGCTCTAGGGGCTGTTGGCATCTTCATCTGCATCCCAAACATTGGGGAGGAGAAGGGAACAGAGCTGGGCTTTGTGTTTTACACCCCAGCTTGAACTGGTCTGTTCCTTCTTGGATCAGCCCTCAATTAAAACCTTTCACATCTGAAACCAAGAGTGCGGGTAGAGACCTCAGATTCAGGAGTTTTCTGAAATCCAGACATAAGGAGCTTTATGATTTAATGTCTCCTTGGCCTGGAGCCGCCGTGCTGGCCCCGGTCCCTCCCAGCCCATCCCACGCCAGCACCGTGCTTCCCAGAAAACAGCACGAGCGTGGATATTCCTGTGGATTCACTCTGGAGCCATCCCTTTCTGCCTCCCTCAGTGCTGCCAAAGCCCCAAGCCCTGGCACCCTGAGCAGATGAGATCCCAGCAGGCAGAGCCTCCTCCGGTGCCAGGAGAGGAGCGTTGCCTGCGGAGCCAGCGCCGAGCCAGGACTCTCACTGCGGCTCCTCGTGTCCTTGCAGGAGAAGCAGAAGCTGCTGGATGAGATCGAGGACCTCACTGTGCAGCTCACAGAGGAGCAGGAGAAAAAGAGGAAGATGGGGGACAAGCTGAGTCAGGAGAGGCACCAGTTCCAGAAGGAGAAGGAGTCGACGCAGGAGGTGAGTGGAGCCTGGGCCTGCCACACTCCTGTCCCCAAAATGTGGGAATGTGGCCTTGGCAGCCTCTCCAGAACTGGGTGTGACTGGAGCAGTGGGTGCTGCCTGGGCAGAGGAAAGGGGTTCAGCAGCTGAGCTGCAGCACCTCAGTCACTTCTACTGCTCTGAAATTCATCCAACATCGTCCCTGCAAGGGGGCTGTGCCACCCTGGCCCCTTCCCTTCCTGCCTGGAAGGAGCAGTGGCAGAGGCACCTGGAGCAGGGGGGTGAGAGCTGAGTGCCTGGAGCAGGATCACACCCCCCAGTCCTCCCATCATCTGTGCCTGGTGATTCCAGCTGGAGGCCCAAGCAGGGCTGGCTGTGGTGGCAGGAAAGGGGCCTCAGGCCCAAAGTGCCATTAGTTGTCACTGTGGTGTCACTGAGGGCTGTGGGGTGAGGAGGGGACCCAGCCCTGCAGCAGGAGGGAGCTGCCTGGGGAGGGACCCACACTGCTGGGGGTCTGAGCTGCTGCAGACCCAAACCCAGCCCTCCAACAGGGTCATTCCAGGGCTGTGCTCACATATTTTAGTAGCTCCCCATCTCCTGCTTGCTGGAGGTGTGAGGGAGAAAGAGAAAACCAAGTGCCCCCAGAAAGGAATTCAATCATGGAATGGTTTGGGTTGGGAGGGACCTCAAAGCCCATCTCATTCTACCCCTTGCCATGGGCAGGGACACCTTCCACTATCCCAGGCTGCTCCAAGCTCCATCCAGCCTGGCCTTGGACACTTCCAGGGATGAGGCAGCCGCATCCAGAGGCTGCTGCTGGATCTCTGGGGCCTGTGACACCCAGCTGTCCCCCTGCCTTGCTCTGCAGCTCATTGAGGACCTCAGGAAGCAGCTGGAGCACCTGCAACTCTTCAAGCTGGAGGCAGAGCAGCGCAGGGGCCGGAGCAGCAGCATGGGGCTGCAGGAATACAACAGCAGGACACGGGAGACAGAGCTGGAGCAGGAGATCAAACAGCTCAAGCAGGTAAGGAGGGCTGGGCTGGCAGGGAAACAATTCCCTGATGCCAAGGGAGGACCAGCAGGGTCCTGGGGCTCTCTCCCAAGGGATGGAGTGGATCCAGGAGCCCAGGGCTGACTTGCTCTGCTGTCCTGGGGGAGGGAGGTTGGTGCTTTCTCAGGGACAGCAGGAGCCCTTCTCTCTGGATCTTCCCAGTGTATCTCATGCTTCCAGAGGTTCTCTGGAACCTCTGGGCAGTGACCCAAGTGCTGCTCCCAGCACTGTGTGAGCTGTGTTAGGATGGAAGCCCCTGTGTGCCTTTGCCAGGCTGGATCAGCTCTGAGCACCAGGTGCCCCAGCAGCGTGTGGTTTGTGTGTGAACAGGATAACAGGAACCTGAAGGAGCAGAACGATGAACTGAACGGGCAGATCATCAACCTGAGCATCCAGGGAGCCAAGAACCTGTTCTCAGCCTCCTTCTCCGAGTCCCTGGCAGCGGAGATCAGCTCTGTCTCCAGAGATGAGGTATGTGCTGTGAGGAGCTGCTGGCTCAGACTGCACCTTCCTGGGTGCCTCCACCTGGCATGGCCTGGCAGGAGTTGATGTGCCCTGTCTGTGGCCCAGCTCACACCCAAAATTCCCCTGAAAGCTGGCAAGAGCGAAGAAATCCCCACACAATTATCTGTAGAGCTCTTAGGACTTAGCCAGCCTCCCAGCCCTCCCTCCTGGGAACAGGGAAGCTGCTCCCTGCCCAAATCCTGGCAGCTCTGCTTTGCCTGCCCGGGGACAGCCTTCCCCTTCCAGGACAGAGCAGCCACCACAGGCTCTGTCCATCTGTCTGGAGCTGTCTTTAAACCCCTGGGAGCCAGAACATTCCCCCTGGAGATGCCAACTCCTCCAGCACGTGTTCCCCCTGAGCACAAACCACGAGTGGCTGAGCCTCACATTCACTGGAATTTAAATCTTTAACACCTCGGGAAACACCCCCAGATATTTTGGGGAACGGACACGCGATGCTCCCTGCTCTCTCCAGGGCCCCATCAGGCTGAGAGCTTGAGGAAGGACAGGAGTGAGCAGAACCAGTTTTCCCTGGCCACTTAAACAGGGTCAGGACTATCCCAGTCCAGAGTGAAGAAGCACGGAGACACCCATGGATGCTCAGAGCCACGGGAAGCTCTCAGCAGTGTCAGGCAGTGACCTCTCCCTCCCTTCCCTCCCTCTGCTGCAGCTCATGGAAGCAATCCAGAAGCAGGAGGAGATCAACTTCCGCCTGCAGGATTACATCGACAGGATCATCGTGGCTATCATGGAGACCAACCCCTCCATCCTGGAAGTCAAGTAAGGGCTGCGCTCCTCGCTGGATTTGGTGCTCTGAGAGGATGAAGAGGGACTCCAAACGTCTTTGCACTTGATGAAGGCACAAGGAAGCCTCAGCTCGGGGGGTGACTGAGCCACGGACCAGGGAAAAGGAAAGCCAGCAGCCAGGCTGTGCTGTCTGACTCCGTTATTTTGAAGCCCTTCTGGCTGTGGAGGGTGAAAGGGAACCTGGAGAAGGAGCTCAGGAAAGGGACACTGCAGGAAGTGCTGGGGACTGTCCCGACAGGCACCGCTCCGAGGGATGCTCCGAACCGCGGGAGATGGGCACGGAGATGGAAGTGACAGCGCTGACTTTCCCCTGCTGCCCTGCCCAGCCCCGGCATCTGCTGTGCCAAAGTGTCCCTGACACACTCACCGGGCAGAGCTGGCAACGAGGGAAGCGCGTCCCGGACTCGCACAGGGTTGGGGTTCGGTTTTTGTTTTGGGGTTTTGGTTTTTTTTTTTTAATTAACTTAATGCAAATGTCCTCATCCAGCTGGCTCAGCCATGCTTGCCCCGTGCTCCTGCTGGGGCTGGCTGCGTGCAGAGCCCTCAGTGGCTGCAGGGGCAGCCCGGGGGTGTTGGGGACAGGGCGTGAGCGCACTTGGTCACCTCCCTCCTTATTTATTTTTGCTGTCTGTGGCTCAGTACTGTCGGCACGTCTCGGCATCCCGGCTCTGCTCCACCCTCCTCCCCCTCCTCCTCCTCCTCCTCCTGCCGGGCTCTGCCCTGAGGTGGCTCCGGGGGGAGCTGCCCCTGGTCCCCAGCCGGGGACAGACACTCGGGCTGTGTCACACCGGGGCACGGCTGCAGCTCCTCACCCCGCAGCGGGGGCCGCTCCTGCCCGTGGGACACGCAGCGCTTTGGGGGCTGCAGCGGAGAGGCCCGAGCTCCCCACTCACCTCCCAAAGTCCCTGGCCTGGGGACAGTGGCCTGTGCCATTGCCAGCCGGAGCAGGGCTCTGCTGGTGATAGCTGCAGCCCTGGAGGGAGAGCCCGCTCCGGCTGCCTTTCCCTCTGTTCCCGGGGCCGGGGCTGGAGGAGCCGCGCTCATTCCTCGTCCCTGGATCTCCGTGCCCGTGGGGAGAGGAGCCGGCAGCTCCCTGGGAAACAAAAGCCATGTTTACATCAGACAGCTGCGGGCTCGCTGGCAGCGGCCGTGGCACCCCCTGCTCCCCTGCGCTCCCGGGAGGAGACAGCCGGCGGAACCCCAGGGATCGGCCTCGGCCAGCGGTTCCTCTTCCTGCTTGGCAGCTTTTGGGAATGCCAGCACGGCCTGGAAGCAGAATTCACAGCAGTCCCAGGGGGTGCCTGCTCCTCCCCGAGCCCCTCGCAGCCCTCGGGGTGGGTGACCCTGCCGGGGAGCCACGGCCGCAGTCACCGCCTTACCCCGGGGGACCCGGCCGAGCCACGGCCACATCACCCCGGTGTTCATCCCCCAGCAGGGTCAGGGGGAACCCCAAACCCCGGGGCAGCTCCTGCACCCCAGCCCTCCCCGGCTCCCACCCCTCCCTGCCTCCCTCCCTGCCCCGAGGCCGCGGGAAGAAGCCACGTAATGTACATTTCCAGAGAAGCTTTGGGTGTAAATCAGTGTATACTTGGAGAGGGAAAATTTTTCTATCTTGTAGAGTAGGTATTTTTATAGAATGAAGGTTGATCCATTTTTTTAATACTTTAAAAGAAGAGAGAAATGTATCTGTGTATACACAAAAGCATATATATATATATGTATAAATATATAAATATTGGAGATCTGCCTTTCTCGACTTGGGATCTCGGATCCCCAGGTCTCAAACAATCGTTTGTTTTTTCCTGTCGCTCTCACAGAGGTACTGTAACTGTAAATAAGCACCGGGAAAAAAAAAAAAAAGTTTTAAGCAAACAAAAAGCACTGACTTGCACATTCACCATGCTTTAAAGGCCCTATGGAGAGAGAAAAACAAAAACAAAAACTCTACATCCTGAAAATGTTCCTCTTTCCCAACCGGTATGTGAAGGAAGACCCCCAAAAAAGAGGCAAAAACGGTATTGTCTTAACTGATGTATCAATTCTTGTCGGATTAAAAGCTGTTACTATTCCTGCCCGGAGAGTTTTTTTCCACTGAGGATCCGAGTGCTGGATTGGAGCATCCCAAATATCCAAGTGCTGGATCTCCAGGGGGGCTGGATGGAGTGGAAATGCTCCTGTACCAGAGTGCCCTGATTTTGGGAGGATGAGGATGAGGATGAGGATGAGGATGAGGATGAGGATGAGGATGAGAGAGGCTGGACTCGGCTGATTCCAGAGGGATCAAGGTTGGAGGGAGCCAAAATCTCCCCAGCCAGCCAAGCTGTGTGGGTGGGAACGGGGAAATTCCACCTTCACCTTCCTGGAGGATCCAGGTTGGGTGAGGGACCCTCGGAGCTGATCCTGCTGCCCAGGGACAGGCTGGGACAGGGACTCGTGGGTCTGCTCCAGGCAGGAACACGGAGCTTTCCCTTCCCTCTGCACCGGGAGAACCCCCTCGGAGCACTCAGCCGCTCTGAACTGCTCCAAAAAATCCCTTAAACGCCCTCACCTCCCTGCTAAGCTGCTCCCCACCCCTCTAAGCCTCCTCCACCCCTCCCCACCCCTTTAAGCCGCCCCAAAGGGCCTGAACGTGCAAAATCCCCTCCCAGCTCCCGCCGTGCCTCCGGATGGCTCCAGACTGTTCCTCTGAACTGCTCCGAGCAGCCCTGGAGCTGCAGCAGAGCTGGCGAGAGCCTCTGACACACCCTGAGCACTCTGAAACCCCCCAGATTGCTCCAAACTGCTCCAAGCAACACTGAGGCTCCAAAACACCCCCACAGCTGCTCCAAAACATCCCAGAGCTGTCCCAAAACATCCCTGACACGGTCCAAAATGTCCCTGACATGCTCTAAAATATCCCTGAGCTGCATAAAACGTCCCAGAGTTGCCCAAAACCATCCCAGAGCTCCTCCAAAACATCCCTGAGCTGCCCTAAACTGTCCCTGAGCTGCTCTAAACCATCTCTGAGCTGATCTAAACATCCCTGAGTACCTCTGAAACATCCTGGAACTGTTCTAAATCACCCCTGAGCTGCCCTAAAACATCTCTGAGTTGCCCTAAATGTCCCCAAGTACCTCTAAAACATCCCTGAGCTGCTCTAAACCATCTCTGGGCACCTCCAAAGCATCCCTGAGCATCTGTAAATCAGCTCTGTAGCATTCCCAACTGCTCTACACCCTCCAGGCAGCTCTAGAGTGCACCAAAGGTTTCCCTAAAACATCCTTTTAAAAATTCCTCTGAAATCTCAGCCTCAAACATCTTGAAGCTGCTCTAGAAATGGGGTAAGTAAATAACTCTGGGGGTATTTCTGTGGTGCTGGGTTGCTTCAAGGAGCTGTAAATCACCTTTGAGCAGCTGAGGCTCTGGAAGGATGGAACTCTGGCCGTTACTGAACCACTTGAACTGCTCAAACATCTCTTGTGCTCCTCCAACCAGCCCTGAAAGGCACCAAGATGCTCAAACTGCTTCAAAGTAGCACTTGAAGCCCTCTAAACTCTTCTAAAACTCCTCGAAATAGCTCAAAACAGATCATAGAAAAGGTCTCGTGGCAGCTCTGAAGCTCTCCAAGCCTCCTCTGTGCAGCTGTGAAACTCCTCAAGTGTCCCAACAGCCTCCAAAAGGCCCTTGAAACCCCTCTGGACCTTCCTCATGTGCCTCTCAATAGAGTTAAAACTTTTTAATATCAGCTCTAAACTCAAACAGTTTGCAACCACCCTAAACCCCCTCTGAACAACATCAGAGGGCCACAGGCAACCCTAAAACAACTCCAAAGCTGCTCGAAAACTCATAAAAAATTAATCAGAGCTGCTCCAAAGCACTTCAGCTCTTCTGCACCTCCTCTGATGAGGGCTCTGAATGGCTTAAAACCTCTCCAGCCTTTTCAAAACTGCTCCAGAAAAGTCCTAAAGCTCTGGAGGTCTCTGCATCCTTCTGAACAGCTCCAGAGCTGGTCCCAGCCCAGCTCCAGCCCTTCCACCGAGCTCAGGGGGCTGAGCACTGACAAACCTCCAGCCCTGGAGCAGTTCTGGGGCACTCACAAGGCAGACACCGAGGGGCTGGAGCGTGTCCGGGGCAGGGAACAGAGCTGGGAAGGGGCTGGAGCAGCAGCAGCAGCTGAGGGAGCTGGGAAAGGGGCTCAGCCTGGAGAAAAGGAGGCTCAGGGGGCCCTTCTGGCTCTGCACAACTCCCTGACAGGAGGGGACAGCCGGGGGAGTTGGGCTCTGCTCCCAGGGAACAGGGACAGGAGGAGAGGGAACAGCCTCAGGCTGGGCCAGGGGAGGTTCAGGTTGGATATTGGGGAAAATTCCTCCATGGAAAAGGAGGTCAGGCCCTGGCACAGCTGCCCAGGGCAGTGGTGGGGTCCCCACCCTCAGAGGGGTTTAAAGACACGGATGTGGCACTTGGGGACACGGGTCAGTGGTGGCCTTGGCAGTGCTGGGGGACAGTTGGATTTGATGATCTCAAGGGACTTTTCCAGCCACGAGAATCCCGTGGTTCTGTGAGCCAGTGGGCACTTCTGAATGCCCCCAAAGCCTGGCCATGACCAAGGCCACCACGGTCGTGTCCCACTGCCCTGGTCCATGTCCTGTGTCTCCACAGCAGGGCTGGATCCAGCAGGACTCGGTGGCCGTGTCCCTCTGCCCCATCCATGGCAGGAATGTGCTCCAGCCCCCCCGTGGGGCTGCTGAGGGCCGAGCTCTGCTGCAGGAGGACCCTGTGTGGAGAAGGGATTTCCAGCTCCTTCCCCTTCCCCATCTGGGGCTGGGGTTAACCCTTGGCAGCCGGGCTGGGAGGGAGGAGAGCCCCAACCCTGGGCGAGGGTGGGCAGCACCAGTGCAACCCTCACCTGTGCCACCCTGTGGGACTTGCCGTGGGCAGAGCACCAGGAATGCTCCCCAGGGATGCTCCAGGAGCTCCAGCATGGGACACAACCCCTGGCAGGGCCACACCGGAGGGTGGTGACACCCCAGCAAAGACCCTACGCCCAGCCGGGGGGCAGCGACAGCAGCCCTACCTGTCCCAGACCATTTTCCTCCTCTTGCCCCAAGCTGTAAATTCCTGGGTGATGCAGAACTTGGGGAGGACGGCCTGCTTGAAATCCCGTGCCACTGGAGCCTGGCAGGGCAGCCCAGCCTGCCCGGGACCCCCCAGCCCGGCCAGGCTTCCCCCCCTGCTTCTCCAGCCTGCCCGGTATCCCCCAGCCTTCCTGGGAGCCCTCCAGCCTGGCCAGGAGCTCGCCCCACTCTCTCTGGGACCCCCCAGCCTTCCTGGGAGCCCCAGCCGGGGGCTGCAGCATCCCAGTGCCCCGGGATGGGGCGGGCGCGGCGGGGCCGGCGGAGCTGCGGGGGCCGGCCCGGGGGAGGCGGGGGGGTCTCGGGCCGGGGCGGGGGCGCAGGCAGGACCTCCCCCTCCCCTCCCCTTCCCCTCCCTTCCCCCGGCCGGTCCCCTCCTCCTTCCCCTCCCGCCGAGGGCAGCCGGCGCCGGCCCGTCCCGTCCCGGGGCTCGGTGGGCTCCGCTGCGCTCCCCCGGCGCTGCCTCCTCCCCATGCGGGGGTCCCGGGTGGGCGGCAGCCCCGGCGCCCCCCGCCCCGCCATGGCCCGGCTCTCGGTCAAGGAGCACCTGGACGGGATCCTCTCCGACTTCGAAGGTGCGGCCGAAGCCTGGGGCCCCCCCTCGGGGCTGGGTGGCGTGGGAGGAACGCGGGATGAGCCCGGGAGGGGGGAACGCTGCTCATCGGCGTCTTGGGGGGCGGGGGTGCCCCCAAGGGCTGAGCATCGTGGGGGGCTGCACTCCCCCCGCCCAGAGGCTGATTCTGGGGGCGATGCTGCTGGCTGGGCTTTTGGGGGAGCAGCGGGCACTGGGTTTTGGTCCGGGGGTTTTGCTGCTGCTGGGTTGGGGGTCTTGAGGTGGGCTGAGCATCGCAGGGGCTGCGCTCCCCTCCGGGGGCTGGGGCGGGGGGGCTGCACATCCTGGGGACACGGGGGGCTGCTCTCCCCCCCGGCCCGGGGGGTGCAGGAGTGCTCTGGGGGGCGCGGCTGTGGGGTGGGCAGGGGGCGCTGCCCAGGGCAGCGGGGGGAGCTGCGGGACCCCCCCGCGCTCTCGGTGTCCCCGCGGGCCGGGGGCTGCGGGGGGGCCGGGGGC